CTCCTTCAGTGGTGTCACATGTTTAAGCCACAGGGGAAAGAAAGCCCAATGCATCCAGATCTTGTTCTCTCTCTACCTTTATCTTCACATCTGACTGTTTGCCAGATCCCCCCATCCCATACCTTTCTCTGTGTTTGTCTTTTTCTGTATCTGTTTGTCTGTCTCCTGGTCTGCCTGACTCCCTCTTTCTGTGGCCATTTAAGTGCCCTCCTCGTTGAGGGATGAGTGGGCTTTCTCTGGGCCTGGGCCAGACCCTGGAGAGAGGAGTGCTTGAAAATTCAACTTGGACCCTTCACCAGACCACATTTTGCAGTTATGCTTAGTATCTGGCCACTAGTTTTTCCTCTTAATATAAGGTCCCTAACCCTACCCATAACTTACCCATTCCACTTTTGATCTAGGAACATAGCTTTCTTAAGCTGGAAGCCCAGTTTAAAATCTGAAGAAAACTTAAGGACCCACAGTGAAAGGATGAGGAGAGCCCAACTCAATTATAATTAAATTTGTTTTTTTCTCTTTGCTTTCTTGAGAAGGGAAAGCTAGAATCCACCCTTTCCAAAGAATAAGTCACAGACTGTGATGTGAAGGAGCAGCACACTTCAGCGGAGTGACCAGGTCTTGAGATGGCACTTTTTGGCCAGAATTTCGGACACACGCACATGCACACACATGCACGCAATGCTCGGCCTGTTTCAAGTTTTAGTGAATAAGGGAAGTTCATCTGATAGATTGCCATTCTCAGTTTCTAAATAGCTTTTATTGTTGAAATAGAAAATATAGTTTTTTAAAATGTTACTGATAACATCAGTTGACTTAACGTTAGGAAGCTTTGAGTCTTGATTTTGTGGTGCAAAATTTCACCTTAGGAGTCAATAAACAAGAAATGAAGCATTAAAGAAACTGGGGAAAATGGACTATGAGAGGGATAGAAAATTGAAAGAACAAGCTTGAAGTTATAGTCAGTTCTGCTATAATACAACATATCCCTAAAAAATTACTGCACCAGCCGGGACCGGTTTGGCTCAGTGGATAGAGCGTCGGCCTGCGGACTGAAAGGTCCGGGGTTCGATTCCAGGCAAGGGCATGTACCTGGTTGCGGGCACATCCCCAGTAGGGGGCGTGCAAGAGGCAGCTGATCGATGATTCTTTCTCATCGATGTTTCTAACTCTCTATCCCTCTCTCTTCCTCTCTGTGAATAAATCAATAAAATACATTTTAAAAAAATTACTGCACTGTATGGAATTGTTCACTAAAAACCACGAAACACGTTGGGAAAATTGGGTTATAGGCACAACAATCCAAAACTTCTTCAGTGACACAGAAAAAGATAGGAGCCTAACCAAAAGTGATGGCCCAGTTTTACTTAGAGTAAGTGGTTAAAAATATCTAAGTAGTAGAATAAATATCACAATTTACCTTGAAAACAACCTGGCATTTGCTTCTAGAAGTAGGTGTTAGGATTGGAGCTGTGAGCTGTTGTGTCACGGTGGGAGAAAGGTGCTGAACGCAGGGACACTGGTAGCTCCAGACACGCAGGAGCCTGGCCCCCACCTCCATGATGGCCTGAGGAGGCGGTGGGGGTGGGCACATTTTGTGTGTCTCCGAGGGTTCAGTCCAACTGCCTGCAGTTTTCTGCATTCATCTACTGTAGTGGTTCTCAACCTTTTCATTTTATTTTATTCTTTAAAAATATATTTTATTGATTTTTTACAGAAAGGAAAGGAGAAGGATAGAGAGCTAAAACATCGATGAAAAAGAAACATTGATCAGCTGCCTCCTGCTCACCCCCTACTGGGGATGTGCCCACAACCAAGATACATGCCAATGGCCAGAATCGAACCTGGGACCTTTCAGTCCAAAGGCCAACTCCCTAGCTACTGAGCCAAACCAGTTTCGGTGGTCCTCAACTCTTTAATAAAGTTCCTCATGTTGTGGTGACCCCCAACCATAAAATTATTTTCCTTGTTACTTTATAACTGTAATTTTGCTACTGTTAATGAATTGTAATGTAAATATCTGTGTTTTCTACAAGTTGAGAACCACTAGCAGGGTCGCCTAACACCATCGGAAAACACAGTGCCAATGGGAGAAGCAGAGGGAGGGACTGCAGGAGGTTGTCCAGCTGCTGGAGGTTGGCTGTGTGAGCGCACTGACCACCAGGGGGCAGCTCTTGCATTGAGTGTCTGCACCCTGGTGGTCAGTGCACATCATAGTGACCGGTCAACTGGTTGTAACAGTAGCTTAAGCTTTTAATTATATAGATATCAGAAAAATGTATAGCAAGCTTACCAAACCTATTGTTTCATATGTACTGCAGTTTTAGAAAAATATCTCTCAAGTGAGGTACTCTTCTTTATGCTGGGCATCTGAAAATGGAGAGCAGTTTCAGGTGTCCCTGACAGAGTGGGGACACTACTGATGATGAAGGGATGAGAGACCAGGAATTCTAACTATCCCGACACCTATAGAGAAACTGTCCTGTCCAAAATACCAACGATGCCCTCATGGTGAGAGACTGGGCAGCGTCAGACTAAAGAGGAGTAAGGAGCGGTAGAAAAGATAATTTAAAATGTCAGGTGCAAAGTAGTACGTAATGTGGCTTTGGTAAGAACAATGAAAATAGTTTGCATTTGATAGAAGTTTTTTGTTTTGTAATATATATTTTATTGATTTTTTAAAGAGAGGGAGAGGGATAGATATTTGAAACATCAATGAGAGAGAATCATCGACCAGCTGCCTCTTGCACACCCCCTACTGGGGATGTGTCCGCAACCAAGGTACATGCCCTTGACCGGAATCGAACCTGGGACCTTTCAGTCCACAGGCCGATGCTCTATCCACTGATCCAAACCGTTTTTCGGCAGCAGTTGATAGAAGTTTGGAAACACTAGTTGAGGACAAGTAGCAGCAGTGAACTTTAACAAACCCTGAAACAGAGCGCCATGTGCCAGGTGGTGTTCTCAGCACTGTACAGATGTTCACTTAGCTGTGGTTAATGGTATTTGAGGAACTAGCCTGCTCTAAAGCCTGCTCTCAGTCTTGGCTGCACAGGGGAGCTTATAAGAGCCTGGATGCCCAAGCCACCAGTTCAGTCACAGTCTCTATGAATAGGGCTCAGGCATCAGTATATTTAAAGCTCATTTGGTTATGCCAATGTGTAGCTAAGGCTGAGAACCACTGGACTAGGATCATTTGCAAAATCACCCCTCTTGCCCTGGCAGGTCTGGCTCAGTTGGTTGGGCATCATCCTATAGACAGAAAGGTTGCCTTGTGCCATGTCTTACAACGGGAAGATGGCTGAGACATGGCTTAGGAAAGTTTCACCATCCATGGCAGGTGGCAGAGTGGAGACAGAGTTGTACAGTCCTGGCTGGCAAGTGCTGATGCTGGGAAGTATATTCGCAATGTTTGGCATCACAGACAAGGAGGAAACTAAATTTAAAAGCCTCAGATGTCATCTTTGGAGAATTAGTAAACTTAAGTTATTTTAGTTTGCCCTTCCCACACACGGGAAGAGAAAGGAAAAAATTACAACCAACATGAATAAATCATTCTCAGTTTTGCCTTCCTAGCCTGGTTGTGGCCTTTCTGTGGTCCAGTTGGAGAGTTTGGATTTTGTCTGTAGATGGATAGCATGATGATTTGTCCTGGTGTGGAGCAGTCTGAAGTCCCTCTTAAAGCAGGCTGGAAACGTCCGGCCCACAGGCCTTATCCTTTGGTCTGTCTCTGCACAGCAACCGCAGGCAGGACTCCAAATTCAGTAAATCTAGGACCATTTTTCATAGCAACATAACTTTTAAGTTAACAATTTTGTATGGCCCTCAAATGGTGTTATAAATATCCAGATGGCCCTTGGCAGAAAAAGGTTCCGCCCCTGTCATAAAGCATCGTTGAGCTAACGTCCATCTGGAAACAAGGCATCGCAGCTGCATAGAGAGGCTCAAAACTGGCATAAACGGACCTTTGGAAATGCAGCATTTAAGTGGTGCTTGTAGTCATTGATTCTAATATGCTTACTTTGTCAAATACTCAGAGCTTTCACATTGTGATCAGTAAATGTTGGACCACATACAGTTTAAAACTTAAGAGTTAAGCAAATGTCTTTTTAAATGACACACGTAATTGAAGGCAGGCACTAATTTACCATCATAAGGTACTTAAGTAGATAAAGTTACTAAATAATTTGTGTCCAATGATAACATTTTTCAGCTGCTCTTGATTGATTTAATATGGATTGCCTTACTCTGAGAAAACCTGATTCTCCAGGAAATAATCTTATCTGTTATACCTGTGTAGTCTCTACCTACGTATGCATTACTTGCTGGTTTCAATGCCAAGCATAGCTGCTGGTGGTGTTTTTGTCTGCGCCTTTGGCATCTTCGTGGTGTGAACCGGAGCTGTGCCATCTGTGGTTGAGCGAGATGATTAAAAGGGGGAGTGAAATGATTCATCGGAAAATTTCAGCACAGATTCTTAAGGAACGATAAGATAACCTTAGAAACATTTTTATTTGGTGTCCTATGCTAGTGGGTAGTGACAGAAAAAAAAAAAAAAAAGAAGAAGAAGAAGGTACAACTTGGTTTTTTTTTTTTTTTTTTTTTTTTAACATTTTGCTATTTTGAAATTGGAGAAGTACTATGCTAGAAAGGAATAATGAATTCCTTAAGGTGTTAATTAGTAGGGCTCTGCAGATGAATGAATAATTTTCTTCTCTCTGATTATAAGTTGGAGCCAGTGTTTTCAGGTTAGAATGGCCATTTAATTTCCTAATGGCTCTTTGTGAATGATAACGCTCTTTATGCTGAGATGTTTCCGCAGCAGAAGGATCAGTTCCTGGAATCCCCAGTAAGTCTGTGGGGCTAGATAAGCCATTTCTGAAGGCTGTGGAGTTTAATATGTGAGGCATCTCTGAACCAGAATGTGTTGCATTTCAGGAGACTCAGGTTCCATGGGAGACTTGCCTAAAGCACGGTATCTTTTTCTTTGTTTTCCTTTTCAGAAAGAAGACATAGCTCAGCCAGCAAGCCTTCTTTGGCCGTTCCTCCCACGTCAGTATTCTCCTTCTTCCCTTCTCTGTCCAAAAGCAAAGGCAGCAGTGCCAGTGGGAGCAGCCGCTCTGCCAGCGGCGGTGTTCTCAGCGCATCCTCATTAAGTTCCAAGCTGTTGAAATCGCCCAAAGAGAAACTGCAGCCCAGGGGGAACACCAGGCCAATGCATCCCATTCAGCAGAGTAGAGTCCCCCCGGCTAGAATGTGAGTATGGCAGCCAGGGTCCTGACGCTTACTCGATGCCGGTGGAACTGGGCACACGGTCCTTCCAGGGTAGCTGGGCATCCTGGGGAAGGGAGCCCACGTAGGGAAAATTCAGATATATGTTCTTTTTTTTTTGTTTCTCTGTCATATCATGGGCAACTTTATAGAGTAGCAATAGCATTGATTACAAGGTGACTAACACTTACTGCTCTTTATTGTGAGGCACCTATTGAAACGCACACCCACCCTGTGAGAAGTATTGTGTTAGCCCCTTTCCCAGGTAAGAAGGAGGTGCAGTGAGGGGGTGGAGCTGTAGCCGAGGAGCCCTCGTTCACATCCCAACTCTGTCACTTCCTGGCTGTGTGGGCTTGGACATAGCACTGTTTTTCTCAGAGCCTAAAAATAACAATGTCAGGGTTATCAAGAGCAGTAGGATTAATATATTAGAGCCAAGCACCTGGAGTAGTGTCTGGCCACCGGAGAGAGGAAATACATGGCTAGGCTGGGGCTTCCTCGGCTGTTGGTAAAAGCAGAAACAAAAGTGGGGCGAGATTCCCAGGTGCCGTTCTCGGATTTTCCAGGACCCGCAGAGCAAGTAGGGAAGCAGTGCTTCCTCCCAAAGCCCTGGGCTCCCATTGCAGCACCCCAGCAATGAGGGAAGACAGGGAGTGCACCTCGCCAGGCGAGGCTCGGGCAAGTTTCCACAGTGGAGCTGAAGGTTGGCAGGCTCCCTGTGGTCACGTGAGGAGCAGCTGGGCACTCTCAGAGAACACATCTTGCCTGGCCGTGGCATCCCTCGGCCTTGGTGCGGGTGGTTTTCCCTGGCTGCCTCCCTTTGGAGGGCGTGCCACATGTCAGTCCCAGGCTCTGATAACCTGGCTAATCTCGGGGCAGCGTCCAGCACCTGCTGCTGCCCAAGGACTTGCCAGCTGGGAGTGGCCGTGGCACCTCGCAGTGTCTGCTGTCAGGCTGTCTCAGGTACAGCTGTTTGGGGCTGTTTGTCCTGGTTGCTAAGCCCCCGGCCTCTCCTCATCTGTCAGAAGTGCAAGTGCAGCAAGCTTGGCTTTTGTGGCTAGAGCTGCCTGAGAGCAGAAAAATGTCAGTGTGGCGTGTAGTCCCTCGCAACCTACAGCTGTTTATCAGACCTTGTCAGCCATGACTTCTTTCCATGGAGCTGGGCTTTCAGGCGACCTGGACAGCTGTTAACTTCATACCAACACTTGCTACCCAAATCATCATGTCAGTAAGATGCCAAGAGAAATGTTTTCTTTGTTAGTGGCACAGTTCAGTGCTCAGCACCTGTGTGCCAAGCTCCTACATTAGAAACCATTTCCAGTGACTGGAGACTTACCACTTCAGCGACACATCTCTTACTAATTAAATAATGAGTGGTCTTGCTCATTGACACAAGTCAAGAGCTTCTTTTTGTAAGTCCTTAGTGACACTTCTTAGGCATATTCTTTAATTCCAATTTTTTAAAAATATATATTTTATTGATTTTTTCAGAGAGGAAGAGAGAGGGATAGAGAGTTAGAAACATCGATGAGAAAGAATCATCGATCAGCTGCCTCTTGCACCCCCCCCCCCCCACTGGGGATGTGCCCACAATCAAGGTACATGCCCTTGACCAGAATCGAACCTGGGACCTTTCAGTCCGCAGGCCGACACTCTATCCATTGAGCCAAACCGGTTTCGGCTAATTCCAGTGTTTTTCTCTGCTCACTCAGTTTCCTTTGTATGGGTCCTTTCTTTTCTTCCTTTTAAAAAAAAATGTTTTCTTTTTATGGAGTCTTTTCTAAAAAAATGACACTTCTCAGACATTCTCTACATGCCCTGCAAATGTTCTTTGGTCCTTTTCATATTTTGCTTCTTGCAAAAGTTGCACTGGGTACCAGAGTAAGGGTGCCCTAGTTCTGCCTGGGCTCCGGGGCAAGGGGCTCTGGAATGATGAAAGATGAGGTACAGGAGCTGTGTGCCTCGCCAAAAGGGCTTGTAGCCTGCATTAGTGGTAACCTTCCTGAGGTTTCGGCTCCGTCCTAACACACGTCCACACAGTGCCTCTGGGAGCCTTGCTGTGTGCAGTGCCCTAGTAGATCAGGCTTTTTCTCCCCGCTCTGGCTCGCTGTTACCTGGGGCCTCTGGGCACTCAGGGATTGGTGTTCTCGCTTCCCCTACCACAGCATGACGCCCTCTGTCAAAATGGAAAAGCTTCATCCGAAGATGGATGGTACACTACTGAAATCTGCGCTGGGGCCAACCTGTCCTGCTACTGTGAGTTCCTCAGTCAAGCCTGGCCTTAACTGCCCCTCAATACCAAAGCCAACCTTGCCTTCACCTGGACAGATGCTGAATGGCAAAGGGCTTCCTGCACCGCCCACTCTGGAAAAGAAGTCTGAAGATAATTCCAGTAATAAGAAATTTTTAAATAAGAGATTGTCAGGTAACTGCACATTTCCTCTTAATGTTTCTTTGTCTTAATTGGCCATTCTTAAAGGAGCAAATGTACTGCTGTCTGTAATTCCTCTTTTTAACACTGGTCAGCTTCAGCTTTAGGAGGGATTTCCATGAGCAGTGTGCTAGGCCTCCTGGACGTTGGGTTGAAGTGCATGTGTGTAGCCAACGTTTAAGTAGCTGTGGGAGTGGCTTCTTTCTGAATGGAATCATGCAGCAGGGCTGACTCAGGCAGTCTGTCTCCTGTTGTTTAGTGGCAACAATCCTCACTCTTCGTGCGGTCACTGCTTCTTCGTAGTTCTCACACATTGGGTATTGTATACCTATTGATTGTGTAGATTTTACCTGACTTATAATTTGTTTGCTTTGAGATTTCTCCCGTTTTCTTGTTTACAAAATAAGAGGAGTGTTTGGTGAGCCCATTATAATTTCTGTGTGCTTTTATTGACAGAAAGAGAGTTTGACCCTGACATACACTGTGGGGTGATTGATCTCGACACCAAGAAGCCCTGCACCCGGTCTTTGACATGCAAGGTAGGTGGGCAGCACAGGGCATGGGCCGGCAGGCACTGCTCCCAGGTTCGTAGCTAGAGGGGGTCTGACCTGTGCGCTGCTCTGAATTATAAATGAGGGGTAATTTGCTTTCCTGAGAAAGCCTCAGGTTCAGAAAATATGAAGTTGTAATCAACTGCAGTCTTCAGAGAGGTTTGTGTCCAGTGCGCTGTGCTGGTCCAGAGGAACAGAATGCTTTCCTGATCAGTCTCTTATTTTCAGAGAAATTTAATGTGAGAGGCTACACATTACTCTGTAAATTATACTGGAAGCCCAGAAATTTCATTTGCATATATATAAATATTGTTAAAATCTTTTTGTAAACTGTGGTTCTTAAATTTTAAAGAGACACTTTAATATTTTGTGACTTGTAGATAGCCTTGTTCTTCTAGTTGGGTTTTTTTTTCTTTAAATACTAGGTAACATACGATCTAATTTATATGTAAGCTAAGAAAATGTAATGATCCTCCTTCCTGTCCAGACATTTTCCTTTAAAATGCCAGTTTGCTGATGAGAGGTGGCATGCTGCTGTACAGGGTTGCTGTGTAGGGGGGCCTCCACACAGCAGGACCTGCTGCATAAGAACATGTACGCCTGTTTGCATTTCCCTGGAGAGTGTCTCCAACCACTCTTCAGGAAAAGGCAAGAAGTATTAAGAATCACTGCTCTGAAGTATATAATTTAAAGCCCCTTGTTTGGAGCAGGGATTAAAAATGGTTTTTAAAAATTAGTCTTTTTTTCTAAAAGTTAATAAAATGGTTGGAGTATTATTTTAAACCAGAGGCCCTATGCACAAATTCATGCAAGAGGCTCGGCCCTCGCAGCTCCAGCTGCCTCCAGCCTTGCAGCCCAGCTTACCCTGAGACCCTGCCCACTGGTCATTCTGGAATGTTGTTTCAGAAGGTCATTTTGCCATCCAGTTTAATTAGCATATTAGTTCTTCATTGTATAGGATGTTACCAAAGATTGTGTTTGAGTAAAGGATTTCAGGCTCCACTTAATCCATAAACAGTGGAGGAATGTTATAATTTTCCAAAAATGGGAAATGTTACTCCTAAGTGGTTCTTATTTCAATTTCAATTTCTAATTTAATTTTAGTATCTTTTTATATATACTTTTTATTGATTTCAGAGAGGAAGGGAGAGGGAAAGAGAGAAACATCAATGGAGAAAATCATTGATCGACTGCCTCCTGCAAACCCCCGATCAAGGATGGAGCCCACAACCTGGGCATGGGCCCTTGGCCAGAATTGAAGCCACGATCCTTCAGTCCGCAGGCTAATGCTCTATCCACTGAGCCAAACCAGCTAGGGCTAATTTTTAATATTTAATTTAAATATTCAATTTAACTTATTGTAAATTTTTATCTTACAATAATTCTGATCTTTTGGGGAAAGGAATTGGTTAAGGGCACCTTTAAATATATCTAATTTTTTTTAAAAAATCACAAATCATCATCATACCTGAGGGAAAAAATATATAAACACATAGTATATTCTGAATTGTGCATTCTATTTTAGAAGTTGTTAAACATTCCCAGTTCAGGCCCAACCCTGAATCTATAGTTTAAAACTCCTAGCTCAGAACAGATTACGAATATAATATTAATTGAATGCACACAGTGGTGTGTTGTTCACTGAAGAGAGCCACTTGAGTGCTCTGTGGGATTCTGTTCCTTTCAGTTGCCCCTGAGGAGCTATGAGAGCTTGCCTCAGCCCTATTCCATGTCATCGCCACACTTCACCATCCTCTCTGCTTCCTTCGTGCCTACCTTGCTCTCAGTCTCAGGGTAGAGGAAACAACATGTGTGATGACTGTTTTTTTATATACCAACGATGCAGGGGCATGGGTGTTAGAGTGTGCATACCCCTGGTATGAAGAATGCCTGCTCTATCCAACATGCTCTTATAATCTCTGAGGCATGCTGTGAACCAAAAATTCTATCAGCTCACAGTCTGTCTTCTTCTGAAACCTTATTGATGGGTGAACTGTGGATCCTGCATTTGTCTCCCATGTTCCTTTTTATATCATGTGTGTTCTCCCTGTGTTCTGTTAAGAGTGTCCTTACCGACTGGCATGGTGCTGATCCTATAATAACATTAAGAGACGTCTTCGGCCCTGGCCCACCATGAATGCAGCACAGAGCTGACAGGAATGCAGAGTCTGGGCAGGCCTGCCCTTCCTTTCTTCCTGTGCTCTCTGCTAGCACTTTGCCCTTGGCTGCCTTGGGGCCTGGATCTATTCAGCTGGTGGGCTCACCATGCTGAATGCCTCATGGCATGCTCCTCACCCTGCCGCCAGGTCTCTCCTGTCGGACTTAAAACTTTGTTCATTCTCTGCTGTCAGGGCATCTGCTGCTTCAACTTCTGTCACTCCTTCCCTGTTGTCATCCTCACTGTCCCCTCCTCACTTCCTCATCTGTCCAATGTCCTATGTAAATGTTTTCTTTGTCTTTCATGGGAATGGGTTTCGAGTTCGCTAGCCAGAGGATACCAGAGTTTTAGAAAATCAAGGCTTGTTTCTACCCTCATGGGGCTTGCAGTCTAATGAGAGAGAGGGAGATTAATCTGATAATCACTCAAATAAGTGTTAAGTTACCAATGATGAGTAAGAAATGGAAGGAGGGTGTGTCATAACCTTCAGTGGGGAGGTTGGGCCAGGCGAGCCTCCTTTACCACAGGACCATGGGGCTGAAATCCCTATGATTTACGTGAGCAAAGGGGGTGGGGGGGAGGAAACAACATGTGTGATGACTGTTTTTTTATATACCAACGATGCAGGGGCATGGGTGTTAGAGTGTGCATAGCCCGGAAGCCTGTCATGGTCAGTCTTTACCCTGGGAACCCAAGGCAGCCCCCAAGGATTCTGATGGGGGCTGGGGGACCTCAGATTTGTGTTGGATGGTTCTTCAGCACTCAGTAGAAATTCTCAGCTGACTTTCTTCACCTGGCTTTTCTGTGCTGAGCACCAGGGGACATTCAGCGATGAGGAGAGGCTTCTGCTTCTGGCTGGAGTGACAAGCGTGTGTGTCAGTGACAATATGTATTCCTTTGTCCATTTGAAACATGTTGGAGGGCCATTATTTTTATATACTTTTTTTGAAGCATTTATTGAGGGCCTGTCTTTAATCAGGGTACTTTCTTGGAGATTTATTACACACTAAAAAAAATTAAGTCAAAATTTAAGAAGAAACTAAGCACATTTATCTACCTGCCAGGCTAGATTTGGAGCATGCACAGTTTTCAGTGTATCTGAAGAAGAGGTAACTTATATTACTGAATTTCAAAAGGACAGTAGAAGCCTAATTCCTCTTAAACCACTTGAATTGTAGCAAACATGTAGACCAGTAGATCAACACATTTATATAATGTGTAGAGCCATGAACACGAAGTTTCATTTGCAGTATATTGTAATGAGAAAGAAGGAAATATGTGGGTGAATTCACTGATCCTCTGTATCTCTTCTCCTGTTGGCCTTCTAAGACTTTTAGTGGTCTCAGCAGCCTGTCTCCAGGGTCCTTTGAGCCACTTTCTCTTTACATGGCATCTTCATGGCAATAGAGAAACAGTTGTGCTGTTTTTACTCTTTGATACTTACTAAAAGAGGACTTTCTAATAAATTATGGAATAATTGTTTCTTCCCTTTTAACATTTAAAACTCTAAATGGCCCAAAGAGGGATTTTCTATTGGAGTTGCTAAGAGCCCCAGTAAATGTTACTGTCACACCTGCTGGCATCTACTGTTTGCTGCTCAGTGGCACAGTGAACATCCCTTCCTTCTTGTGGTGGAAATGACATCATTAAAGTCTCATCCATGTGGAGCCTAGAATACATACCTCTCTTTTAGCTAAAGGAAAAAGATCATGCCTGGCCATTGTGGCTCAGTGGTTGAGCAGCAACCTATGAACCAGGAGGTCACTATTTAATTCCTAGTCATAACACATGCTCAGTTGCAGCTTGATCCCTAGTGGGGGATGTGCAGGAGACAGCCAATCAGTGATTCTCTCTCATCATTGAAGTTTCTATTTCTCCCTCTCTTTTCCTCTCTGAAATCAATAAAAATATATTGGCCTTCTAAGACTGTTAGTGGTCTCAGAAGTGGTCTCTTTTAAAGACAAGAGGTCAGCTTATCAAATGCTGAGCAGCCTTTGACTATGCTAATGTTCCCAGATTACTTTTTTACTGGGAATTATGTTTTTGGATATATGATAGAAAAATATTCTTACCTCAGTTTCTATATTCCTTTGGTCTGCAGACACATTCCTTAGCCCAACGGAGGGCTGTCCAGGGTAGAAGAAAACAATTTGATGTGTTATTAGCCGAGCACAAAAACAAAACCAGGGAAAAGGAATTGATTCGCCATCTGGACTCTCAGCAATCAACACAGCCTCTCAGGGACCCGCATCTCGCCCCTTCTAGAACTTCACAGGAGCCACACCAAAACTCTCATGGAGTGATTCCTTCCGAATCAAAGCCTTTCATAGCTAGTAAACCTAAACCTCACACCCCAAGTCTTCCAAGGTAAGCCAAGCTTCCCATCTCTTTCTTCCTCCTTTCAAGAGCAGACTCGGAGACCCTGTCCACCTAGTGTGAACATGATGTCCATCAGGCTCTCTCAGAAGATGAGATGGTTTTAAGTTGGGTTTTACTCTAAGGGGAAAAAACGTTTAGTTCATCATTGGGCTTTTCTGAGCCCAATGCAAGCAGCAAAGTAAAGCTAGTATTATCTGCTCCTGCCTGCTCAGTGTTACATGTCTCTTCAGCCCACTGAGCAGGTGACACTGCCTGCAGGTTAGTGCCTGGGACATTTCCCACAGCTTTGGCAGCAGTTTCCCATCCATTTGTCTCGCTTCTTGCAAAGTGCAGCAGTGGGAATCTCTTGCTGGGACATTCAGCCTCAGTGTTTTCAGCATCCATTTACCAACATACTTTTTTCATTCATTCATATGGGGGTTTGGCCTAAACATGTATTAGGCATGTTAGCCATGCACTAAGCCATGGGTCAGAGTGTTTTACTGAACACTTACTGTACCTGGGCCTCAGAGACAGTGCTGGACCGCATGTATGTGTGTCTGTGCCTGCTACTTAATCAAGTTGAAGTAAAGGACTATGTGCCCAGTTCCCAAGCGAAGGAAAGAACAGCACAGAGACGGAGGCCTCCGGTGGTGGCCATGGGCAATGAGGGCTTCTGCCTAGGAATGTGCCATCCTTGTTGCCATACCCTCGCTTTCACACTCACATGTCTGAGCCTTGAAATTGTCGTATGAGGGTTGCAAGGGCCTCCCTCAAGGAAAGCCCAGTGTGAGCTTGAGCCTACCCCACACGAGCCCTCTGGTTTCTGAGCATCACTGCGCCAGGGCAGTTGAGGAGGCCCCTAGAGTGTGGCCCGCTCTCGCCAGGAGCCCTTAGAAAAGTCCTCCCTTTGGCCGTCTTCTCAATGAAGTTTTCCATCTGAAAAAGTAACTTAATTCTAGAACCAGCAGACAGGGAGGAAAAACCCATTGTGTGTGAGTAGCAGGCTCTCAGGTCGCTTTTCACATGAAGTAGTAATGCTGCCTAGTCATTGTATCCCCTCCTTCCCTCTTGGGTTTTGTGGAGCATTTTGTCATTCATTGCCTTAGTAACCTAGATCCAGGAGACATTTGAAGAGGAATCACAGAAAGGTTCTCTTAAATTCCATATATACTTTCCCTCCTTTGGGGAGACTAGGAGGCGAACCCGAGCCCCCACGTGGCAGTAGAAAGGAAAGCTAGTTAGAGGTCACTGGGCTAGGCCTGGCGGACAGCTGCATGTGACATCCTGCAGTTCAAGGGAGAGGATCCTGCACTCCGGGCCACCTGCTCAAGTTTGCCCATGCGAGGGGTGGCCCCGACCCTTGAGGTGGTTTTGGATACGTTGTTGTATCTGAGTTAAGGCGGCTGATTCCCAGACGTGTGATCTGATCAGTGCTGCACTTTCTGCTCACCAAGGCCTCCAGGCTGCCCTGCTCAGCAAGGTGGGAGTGCCCCCACTGACCCTCCTCCAGTCCATGAATCTCCACACCCTCCCCTGCCTGCCACTGAGCCAGCTTCTCGGTTATCCAGTGAGGAGGGAGAAGGCGATGACAAAGAAGAGTCTGTTGAAAAACTGGACTGTCATTATTCAGGTCATCATCCTCAGCCAGCATCTGTAAGTTCCACATCCACCCCACATTGGTCCTCCCCCGCAACAGGGACCAGGCACTGCAGGGGGGCGCGCCAGGGACCTTGGCATGCCCGTACTCGGGACGCGGCGAAGGTGTGAGAGCAGCTCAGAACAGGGTACCCCAGAGATGGCATGCACTGTGTCCTGGGACATCTCATGCTTCTCCCCTTCTCTCCATGAAACTCAGGGCCAGGCATTGTCACGCTCGCGCTTCACAGCCTGTGGTGCTCGGAGTAAGCTCTCAGTGGTAGCTCCAGGCCTGCAGGAGAGACCCTCCCAGTGCCGCTGTCCGAGGTAGCAAGCAAGGCGCCTGTGCTCTTTCTTTCAGTTTTGCACATTCGGGAGCCGGCAGATTGGAAGAGGCTATTACGTGTTTGACTCCAGGTGGAATCGCATTCGCTGCGCCCTCAACCTCATGGTGGAGAAGCATCTGAACGCGCAGCTGTGGAAGTGAGTGCCCATCTCACCGCCTCTGGGTTGGGGGGCGGGCGTGGGAACTGGCCCTTTATTTCTTGTGGGACTAATTTAATGAAGATACGTTTATCTAAATGAAAGCGTGGCCTTTGAGTAGCCCTAGAAAAAGGATCCTTTGTCATTCATTCATTCATTCATTCACTCTTTCAGCAAATATGCCTTGTTCTGGGTACTGGAGTTCCAGGCTCAGGTACAGAGCCCTCATTCTGATTGTTGGAGAAACAAAAAACAACAAACAAAAACTGGAGAGAAGTGATAGCTTGTCATAAGAGAGGTAACCACTAGCAATGAGAGCTTACTGGATGCCAGGCAATGTATTAAATATATTTAATGTTCATGATTGGCTTTGTCAGGTGACCTCCATTATCTCCATTTTACAGATAATGAGCCTGAGAAACGAGGTCACCCAGCAGGTTAGTGGAAGGGCCAGCATTTGGACAGTGTGGTTCCAGGCAGTTAACATGCAAGACAGAGCAGGCCAGGCCTCAGGAAAGGCCCTTTGGAGAGGCGGGCCCTGATCCTGAACTGAAGTGGCCGGCTGAGGAAGGGGAGGGTGGGGAGAGGGAGTGCTCGTTGGAAAGAACGCTGTGTAGGAAGTCTTGAGTCAGAATGGACTGTGATTCATTTGAGAAAGAGCAAGGAAGTGAGCCTGGTGTAAGACCAGGTCTGAGAGGCCGCAGGCCACATGGTGCCACCTGGCTCTGAGTGCAGTGGTGCTGCTCAAGGTTTCAGGTGGCGGAGCTGGTGTGCTGGTCTGTGTGGCATTTCACATGCTAATGTTCCCCGGTGGGACTGCAGGTGGACAGAGAGTCCACGCCATCCCTAAAGGGCTTCTCTGGTGCCGTAGTGGGCACTGTGCATTGTTACAACCTCACAGCATATGGCCTTTGTAATGTGGACCATCCCCCAAGCTCTTCTGGCCTGGGAACCTCTTTCAGGGGAGCATCTTGGGAACCAGTGTTTGGTGGTACGTAGTTTGGAAAATACTGAGCCTTGCTAAAGTGAGCCGGCCAGTAATCCACAGGCCATCAGAATTTCCTGTTTGGCCATCGTTTACTGGTGCCTCCCTGAATGGACTCTGCCAGGACATCCATTTGCCTCCTTGTTTCCCTAGTAAGGTTGAGTGAAGCCCAAATTTACAGAACCATCTCCATGCTCATTAATAGCATGAGTTCACGTAGGAAACCAGAGCATGTCTCTCTACTCTCTCTCCCATGTGTCTTCCTGGTTCTTAGGAGATAATAGACTCCTCTTCCTTCTTTATGATGTACCTGGAGCTCATTAAATGGTGGGTATTGTCATCCTAAGAGTATAGAGGGGTCTTAAGGATTCTTTATCCTCAGGGTGTGGGTAAGTGGATTATGGGATTAGGCCAGCTGTTTAGGTGAAAGTTTCAGTTCCTAATGGCTATGTGGAGAGGTTTTTCTCTCCTCTGTGAACTTCCGAAGAAGCAGGTTCATTTCTTTGAGTTAGTTCTCTCTCTTTCTCCCTGCCTCTTCCCATCCCCATATATCCAAAGAGTTGTTTGTTTTTAAGAGAGCTTTTATATTTTTTAAATTTATTTTTACTTATTTCAGGGGTGAGGGGGAGAGAGAGACACATAATGATGAAAATCATTGATCAGCTGCCTCTTGCAGGCCCCCTACTGGGAATCAGAGCTTGCAACCTGGGCATGTGCCCTGACTGGAAATCAAACCTCCTGGTTCATAGGTTGATGTTCAATCTCTGAGCCACACCATCCAGGTTAGACAAACTTTTTTTTTTTATATTTATTTATTTATTTTTACATATTTTATTGATTTTTTTTTTTGCCCCCCTCCCTCCCCAGAGTTTTCTGTCCATTGGTTGTACTTATATGCATGTATACAAGTCCTTCGGTTGATCTATTATCTCCCCCAGATCCTCCTCCCCTCCCCGCTGTAATTTGACAATCTGCTTCTTGCTTTACTGTCTCTATATCTATCTTTTGGTTCATCGGTTTATAATGATCTTTATTATCCACAAATGAGTGGGGTCATGTGGTGTTTCTCTTTCATTGATTGGCTTATTTCACTCAGCATGATGTTCTCCAATTCCATCCAGGTTGCTGCAAATGATGAGAATTCCTTCTTTTTTATGGCAGCATAGTATTCCATTGTGTAGATGTACCATAAAAACTATGGTACATCTACACAATAGACAAACGTTTTTATTAGTGCTTCTATATCTTTGCAGTTCATTTATGCTAACATAAGTCAATATGCCATATTCTTTTTTTGTTCTGTATACAAATGGTAATGAATGACTTAACAGAGCTTTTTTAAAAATTTTATTCTTTATTTATTATTATTATTATTATTATTATTATTATTAGAGCTTTTAAAGAGAAAAACCAGTGATGTAATCCAAGGAGAGCCACAAACTCTCCTCCCCCTCCACACTAACACCATGCTTTTTCATTTCCCTGGACTTGGTCCAGCAGCAGCCTGTTCTTTAGGCTCCGACTTTCTCAGCCACCTGGTGGCCATGAGAAGTCACTGCAGGAGCCCCTGCACTTCATTGAGAACAGGGCTTTTCGATGGTGCTGGGACCTTGCGAGGACACAGATGATACCAATGAAGTAGGTGTAGCTTGGGCCCGGGGCTGCAGCTTTTGCACTGAGCTCTCAGGTCACACCAGGCACTGCCCTCCATGAGAGCACAAGGCGAGGTGCAACCTATTTCTCAATCTTGAGTACAGTTGGGATCTCCTGATGCCTGAGCCCCACCCCCATGGACTTGAGAAGCACCACCATGGCTGGTTCCTGGAGAGCCACATATTTTTTAAATTGATTCTGTAGAGGGAGAGAAAAAGGAAGAGAATGGGAGAGAGAAACATCGGTTTTGTGGATCCACCTATTTATTCATGCATTCATTGGTTGACTCCTGACTGGGGACCAAACCCACAATCAAGATGATGCTCTAACCCAGTGGTCGGCAAACTCATTAGTCAACAGAGCCAAATATCAACAGTACAACAATTGAAATTTCTTTTGAGCCAAATTTTTTAAACTTCTAATGCCACTTCTTCAAAATAGACTCGTCAGGCCATCGTATTTTGTAGAAGAGCCACACTCAAAAGGCCAAAGAGCCACATGTGGCTCGCGAGCCACAGTTTGCCAACCACAGCTCTAATCCACTGAACCACCTACCAGGGCCAGAGTCACACTTCTGAATGGGAGTTTTAAAGTTGCTGCAAACACTTGCCATCATTAGTTCCTTTTATTAGTAACTATAGTTCTTTAAAAGCATGTGGAAAGCTTTGGCAGCAGTCTAGCCAACTTTCTCACTTGAAAGACGAGGGAGCCAGCCAGCCAGGGCTGCCCGTATAGCCAGGGGCAGAGCAGTCCTGGTGCTCGCCACCCATCAGGCCACTCTCCCGGCAACACCTCAGTGCTTGCTCTGTCATAAGGGTTTTGAAATGTTGGTGCTGTCACATTTTTAAATCAGAGCCAAAATAAAAGGGGCCTTCCTGTTTGACAATTTAAGTGACTCCTGTCCCCAAATAAATATTTTGCCCAGACATCATTAACAGAATACACTGTTTCAGCACTGTGACTGGAAGTCTCAAGACTTGGGGTGAAGCTCATAGCGTCGTTCAGGCCAGTGATTTAGACCAGCAGTTGTTATTACTTAGCTGTTACTACCTTCCTCACTTGTTAATTCAGAGCCTCCTGTGTTCCTGGCACTGTGCTGGCTCTGCTGTCGGTGGTGAGTAGCTGTGGATGGCTTCCACAGAGGCGTCAGACAGTGATGGGCAGCCACACAGTGGAGCCAGGGTCCGGGACCGAGCAGTGGGAGTCCCTGGAGAGGTTTCCTAAGAAGGCGATGGTGGACTGAAACAGAAAAGCGTTGGGGTAACAGTGTTCTGGGCAGGAGATATGGGAGTATTACGTCGTGGCCTATTTTCAGAACAATTGGCAGCTGGAACCAGGGCATGGGGGCAGGGCATGGTGGAAAGCTGGGCGGCAGCAGCTGGGAGACACGTGGGACCTGCGAGCCAAGGGAGAGGATGAACCTCTGACAGCGCAGGCCTCTCAGCCCCAGCGATGCACCGGCGACTGTCGGGAAGCGTCCAGGAGGGGCCATGCTGACCAGGGCTCCCTGTCTCTCCTTTCTGCAGGAAAATCCCTCCAGTGCCCAGCACCACGTCACCCGTCTCCACCCGTGTTCCTCACCGGACAAACTCACTGCCCACGTCCCAGTGTGGGGTCAGCTGTCTGGCAGCAGCCACCATGTCTACATCCCCAGCCCTGCTCTCCTCCACCTGCAGCTCCCCGAACAGCAAATCGGTACCAGCTCACGGAACCACACTAAATGCACAGCCTGCCGCCTCCGGGGCCGTGGACCCCGTGTGCAGCATGCAGTCCAGACAAGTGTCCTCGTCCTCATCCCCGTCCACACCCTCTGGCCTCTCCTCGGTGCCCTCCTCCCCTCTGTCCAGGAAACCTCAGAAGCTGAAGTCCAGCAAGTCTTCAAGGCCCAAGGAGTCTTCTGGGAGCAGCACTGACTGTCACCCCAGTGGCAGCCGGACCAGCGGCACCTCAGGGAAGAAGCGCAAAGCTGGTTCTCCACTGTTGGTTCACTCTGCCTCCGCCGCCGCCTCCGCCGCCTCTTCGTCTCATTCCATGGAGTCTTTTAGGAAGAACTGTGTGGCCCACGCGGGGCCACCCCACCCCTGCACAGTCACATCTTCCCACGGCATCGGCCTCAACTGCGTGGCGGGTAAAGCGAACTCGGTGAGCGTCCGGCACGAGCAGTCAGGGAGGGGCGCCCCCGGCGGGAGCCCCGCCGAGTCCATCAAGAGGATGAGTGTGATGGTGAACAGCGGCGACTCCACGCTTTCCCTGGGCCCGTTCATCCACCAGGCCAGCGAACTGCCCGTCAATTCGCACGGCGCTTACTCACACGCGCACACTCCTCTGGACAAACTCGTAGGAAAGAAAAGGAAGTGCCCGCCTGGCACGAGCGGTGTCAGCAGCAGCAGCAGCAAACCCACTAAGGTCGCCAAATTGCCAGCCATGAACAATGTCCACGTGAAACACGCAGGCGCCAGCCCAGCGGCATCCGGACTGCCGAGCAGTTCCTTCCTTCATCAGGTAAGCGGCAGGCGGGAGCCGTCCCTCCCTCCACATCTTTCTCCAGCACGGACATCTGAGTGGCTGCGCTGGGGGGCTGCCTGTAAATAGAATGGCTAGCTTTCTGATAGCTTTTAAGAAGAGGAAAAGTTGTGGCCATATAAAGGTAAAGCAGGCTTTTCTTGTGCAAAAATTTCTGATGACCTGGACCCTGCCCCTGGAACAGGAATCCTCGGCTGTGCATTTCAACAGAGAGGGTCATGGAACCTGGTCTGTGTGACAGCACATCCCTCCCCCAGAGAGCGGGGAGGGAGAGGGCAGGCCCAGGGTCGTGTTCAGGAAGGAGGCAGGCTGTTTCCTGGAGAGCCGGTCCTCTGCTTCCCGGAAGGAAGCTGGCTGACATCACACTGACCTAGAGAGGGACCTACATTTTAAAAAGAAAGCTTTTAATGTTTTTACATCAGAGAATTTTACGTTTTCTGGCTTAACATTCTGTATATTTTCCCCTTCCTCTTTCCCGGGGAGGCAGAAAAACAACATAAATATGAGCATAGCAGGAGACTAACCTCTCCTAAGTTTATAGATTAAAAAGAAATCTGACAGAGCCGAGTTGTGCAGAGTGGCTGCGTGGGTGTTGGGTTCTTAATTAACAGTGGCTTTCTGGCTTTTGCTGTCTATCTGTCCCCCACCCCTCCGCCTTCACTTCTCTCCGGGCTGCTCCCGCAGCCGTTCCTCCAGCCTCCTCTGCTCTAACGTTCAGCTCATCTCATCTTGTTTCATTCATCAGGGTATCTCCTCACCTTGCTCACGAACAGGAATTTCAGCAGCACCGTCCCAGAGCCCTGATCTAAAATGTGAGGCTATTCTTTTTTTGTTGTTTTTTCCTGCCTCACCTTCAGAACCTAACTCAAATGCAGGCTAGGCCTGTTCCAGGAAATACCCAGGAGTTTCTTACTGTGAGACAGTTTTCCCGAGTGTCTGTGTGAATTAAACTCAGTGCCAGTGATGGGGGAAATAATTACCCATGAATTTAAACAGCAGCTGCTTGAATTCTTCTCTTTGAGCCTGAAAAACACTGGAGCTAGCTGTGTGTTGGGCTCTTTGAGCAGGGGTCCCAGACAGGTGACGGTGTGCTTTTACTCCCTGGCTCGTAGTCACTGCTCACGTGTAGTTTATAAGCATAAAACTGCAGTGCGGACACCTCAAGAAATGGTGTGCTACAGGAGGGCTGTTCCCTGAGTGCGATGCCCACTCTGTGTTCCTGACACAGTCTGCCTTCATGGAGGCGCGCCGCGGCCCCCAGGCCCAGGGACAGGCAGGCGCAGCGAGCAGCAGTGCTGGGACAGGAGTGGCAGCCCATCTGCTGCTCTCGCTGCCTTGTTACCATCTTCAAGGAGATGCTGCAGGTCCAGGCTTGTGTGAGAAACGTGGGCACTTTTTAAGCTGTATTTGTTTTTTAAGCAAATAGAGCCCACACAGGCTAAGTTTGCCAACTCTGGTTTCTACCATCTCGGGGGCCGTCCCAGTAGGAGAGACAGCCTACATTTCCATTCTTTTCTTTAAATTCATTTTAACAACTTGTATTTGAGATCCCTCTGTGCATGGATTACTTTTTATTATGCTGCACAGATGCTATTGGAACCCATGGCTAGAGATCAGAGGATCTGTGAACCCCAAAAAAGTATTGTATGTTTTTATGCCAAGAGGGGTCTGCAAGAAGGATCCTTTCATCCAAATCTCAAAGGGACCCATGACTCCAAAATCCTTTAAGAGCGCTGCTGTTCACGCTCCCCGCATGGGCACCTCTGTGAGTTTCCACACCTGTGTGCGTGAGCCCGCTGACCTTGTTCAGCTCACATGCCGGCCTGAGCGCCTTCCAGGAAAAAGCGTCAGTAAACAAAGCCAGGGCAAACATGGGACCTCATCTCTAAGCTAGAACCCCAGTGGCATCTCTTCCAGTTTGAGTTTTCTAAAACTTAGTCTTTCAAAATGTGCCCAAGAGTGCTGATGGTTTTTGAAAGCTAAGCCCAAATTCTTTCCCTGACTCCTGGCATCACCAGTCAGCACAGACTGGTGGCCTCGGCCTTGGAATGTTCTCGTTTACATGGGGATAGCACCGGGCACAGATACTCACTTACCTTTCCCATGTTCCCCCCTCCTCTCTTCTGAAAGCCAAAGACACGTCCCTGACAACTGAAAAGAGCACGGGGAGGAATAGCCCGGACACTGTCGATGACAAGTTACGCCTCCACTCAGCACTCTGGACTCCGCGCTGCCTTTGAGTCTGTTTGCCCAACCTCCTGCCAGCCTCAAGGGTGGAGCTCTGCGAGCAAGCGGCTGTTTAACAGGAGTTCCCTGAAGCTATGTCTGTAGCAGTGAGTACTCGTAAAGGACACTGGATCAAGTTCAGCCACCGAATTGCTTCTATCAGTGTTAAAGTGGTCTGGACTACCCGTTACCAATCTGTGAGAAATGTTTGTGTTGTTTTTTAACTTGCAGTATATCATGGAGCCACTCTTCGAGTAGATTGGCTGGGTGAAAGAATGTTCTGGAACATTACTGTAGACTTGTCTCCCTCCTCTCCCCACCCCAGTTCTTTATTACACTGCCCTCTGCAGGTCACTGTAGCCTTTAGGCACCTTAACTGGAGACACCTTCCGAGGGGGACAGCGCTCCCGGCAGCCTCCGGAGAGGGAGAGGAGGAGGGCGCTGTCACTGGGTTGTAACAGGGGCTCCAGCACCGGGATGGGGGTGTTAGCCCCGGGACGCAGAGCCTGTATTTCACCCAGCGTTGTGCAAGTCATTTGGGATAAGAAACTGTCTGAAGTTTCTAACTTACAGACTGGTTAAAGTAGTGCTGCCCAGAGAGCAAGCGCACACCGTTTTAGAGGCTTACTTTTCATGGTACAAAGCAATTCTCTGTGATTTTTAAAAAAAGAAAAATGCAATCTAGTTTTGATAACGGAAAGCCAAATTTGAGGAGGGTGGATAAAAATCACTATGGGAAAATTGTTTCCAAGATTTCCAAAGAGATGAAATTTTTCTATCCTTCAAGTCTTCATGATAAAACAGTCTGGCAGATTGGGTTCGTTGTCTTTGCCCAGTCTCCTGTTTTCCAAAAATTGCCTTTATAAAGTGAAATTATCAGGATGCAGCAGAAACTGTCATTCACAAAGTCATTCATAGACTTAAATGTTTTCAAGGCCCTCTCACACTACCCTCTCTCCCCCCTCGGACGCTGCCTGGGAGGGAGGTAAACTACCACTGAGCGCCCTCCGCACCGTGTGTGCATCCCCCTGCCTCAGAGAGGTGTGTTTGGCCGCACTGGGATGGGGAGCAGGCATGCAGGGTCAGGGAGGGGGTGTGAGTAATGTGTGCACATGCCCAACACCCTCTTCTCCGGGGACTCCTGCTGGCCATTTCCTGAGAGTTCTGCAGAGACCTTCCAGCATATGTTTTCTAGTGCCCCAGCCCAAAGGAGCTTAATACGTTAAACGTCATTGCTTAGGAATTCGGGGGTAAGTTGGAGCTGCTTAACAGGTGGTTCTACCACCACAGCTCCTGAAAGGAGAGCCAGGCACCTGTGCTTAGCAGAGTCACGAAGTTGCTGAACACAGGGTACATTTCCTACCCTGGGCATGCCCGCCCAGCAGGGCTGTCCTGCAGCTCTTCCTCCCTGCAATTCTTGGGTTACTTCTGTTTCAGGGACTTTCAGGTCAACAACAGGTGGAATGAATAAATACTAGGTTACCAGCCTAATAATGTGAATTGCTAAAGAATTAATCTTATTATGTAAGAAAACAAAAACTTTATGCAGATACTTTAGCTATAAATTGATGTAAAATACTGATTTTTTAAAAGGATGGGGAGAAGAGTATCTTGTTCACTCTTTATGCAATCAGTCAGTCAATGTTTTTAAATGATGCTATGGCAAAGCTTAGTAAGGAGAGAGCCTGGATGAGCCAGTGCGGAGTGGTCAGGACAGATCAGTCTGGTGGTTCCATCCAGTGGAGGGAGAGGAGGTGAGAGGGAATCAGAACGTACTTACTTGATTCCTTGGTGACAAGTGCAATGGGGTATGGGTAGAATTTATTTTCAGAGCCAAGGGGACTTGATGGTAATAAATAAAGTTGCTTTTAGCGATGGAATTTATAGACAGATCATGTTGTTCCGAAAGATGTGAATAGGATCCACAGTAGCAGGTTGGTTTAGAATAATGTAGATATATCTAGATTAGCAGTGTTGGTCATTTGATTTCTTAGACTGAGGTTTTAATTGGATTTTATTATGTTTCCCGATAGTACAAAGATCATCGGGATTAGGAAATTAGCCATTTTGGATTCTGCCTGCCACAAACAGACATATTCTAAACAGTGCTATTAAATTTTAGACTGTTGTTCAAATATTTTATTTTCTCCTACAGCTACTTTTTATTATGAACAGTTAAGACCATTTAAAACACGGGAGTACAAGTATTTTTTTGAATTAAATTAACTTGCAAAAACCAAATTTGCAGTGGTTGGGTTGTTTCTAGACAGACTTTGGTATCAATTTAAAATCAAGATAATTTTTATATTCTTTCCAATAGAATTTCATGACAACTCCTGCAGTTTTCTTAACGGAAAAAAAAAAAAGTGCTGCAATGATGAACAAAGAATTATACAAAACCTACTTTTGTACCTTTATTTTGGAATTTCTTGTTCTATTATAAATATGGAAGTATCCCTATCTCAGAAGACATATTTTGTTAAAAATGAATTGTACATATTTAAATATGTATTTTTGCACAGGTCTTTTTTTCTGATATCCTGTTTTGGTACAATTGAGATCATCTAGTATTTATTTATTAATTAATAAAAGTAAATACCTTTTTATAATTTGAAGTGGTTCACTGCCAAGCCAATAGTTCTAGAACCTGCCTCCTTTGCAGTTGAAGGGATGCCTCTGTGAACGTCGTTCTGTCCCTTTAACGTCTCGGGAGTGGATTCAGCCGATGCAGTGGGCATTGCTTCTCCCTCGTTGCCTGGCTTCCCGATAGACGACATGTAACTAAGTGACACACTGCTTTTCTTTTGTTTTATGTGAGAGAGAGGATGTGTGTGCCTGTGTGTGTGTGTGTGTGTACCCTCTGAGCACACGTGTGTTGGTATGTGATGTGGTTTAAAACTAATGGAAAAAAACTGAAAGTGCCTGAACCTAGTTTTAAGCTTAGACAGATTCTCTTTAAAAAGACTTGAATGTTCAGTTGAACTTTTGGAGTTTGTTTTTTCCACCTAAATACTGTGTCTAAAAATTTAGGGGAGGAATTGAAAACCACCGATGCTGGTCATTTTATAAGGTATTTTAAATCAAGACTTGTTGGTTCACCATAATCCAGCTGGTGGTGGAGTGCCCAGTGGCACCAGGGGTTACAGATCGTTTTGTCAGCCAGCAACTTACATGACATGACATGTCCATTTTGTTACTCATGAAATATTGAGTTTAAATAGAATATTTAAATTTTTTGTATTCCAAAAATGTAATACAGAGTACCTCTGAGAACATTGAAAAAAATGTGTAATTTGAAAAATGTAATTTATAAAGGCAGCTGTCTTCCTGCGAGTTCTGTTGCCAAGGAATTCCTTGATATCTCTCATTCTGTCCTGGGGCAAATGTTGGGCTTTGGAAAATGATTGTTAAAACTTTCATTGTTTAGAAGAAAGTAATCATTTTTACATTTTGTGCAAAACATTTTACATTTTCAGATCATTGTATGAGCACTACATACTGTCAGGTGAATGTGAGGCTTGAAAGCATTTTGCTGTTTTTTGAGCTTGGTCATAAAAGCAATCTCCTGTGTTAAATGTGTGACTAGTTTGGTAATTGTGCACAGAATCAAGAGCATCTCAGCTGGACTTTGTATTGGCTGCTGTATAGAATAAGAACAAATGTCAAGGGATAGAAATTACTTTGGATATTTAAAAGAGAAGAATATATAGTCTATTTGTTTTGTAACAAGGTTCTGTAAATAAAATAATTTATACTATTTATAAGAAAAAGTTGTGCTTTGCTTTATGAGAAATTAGTTTGTGAAACAAACATGTTACTAATCGGGCAATAAAATTAGGACTTCTCAATAAATAAGGTTGGCTGCATGAACTATTTTACACGTTTTTGCCTCATTGTGATACTAAGCCCCTTGTGTCAGCACAAGCCAGGTATTCCTCAGGCCTAGGATGCTTGCATTCTTGGGCTCTGAGCTTTGCTTTGGATAAAATGATAACTAAACAGTGAACACTACTGCCTTCTTGCCCTGCAGGTTTGTCAACCAAGGGGAGTTGATGGATTGAGAGACTCATCCTACTTACACTTTTATGTAAATTTGATGGCACATGGTCAGTTTGGGTTTAGAGGGTAAGTTTTTTATCCAAAGATGATATGGTCTCTTCCTTGTCTTTATTTATTTTTATGTAAAAGTTCCGATTTTTATATATAGACTATTTTTATTTTTTAGAAATTTCTTTATTAAGATATTACATGTGTCCTTATTTTCCCATTATTCCCCAACCCCCCTGGTGTCTGTGTCCATTGGTTAGGCTCTTATGCATGCATACAAGTCCTTTGGTTGATCTCGCCTCCTTATCCGCACCCTCCCCTACCTTCCCTCTAAGGTTTGATGTTCTGATCGATGTGTCTGTCTCTGGATCTGTTTTTGTTCATCAGTTTATGTTGTTTATTATTTTCCATAAATGAGTGAGATCATGTGATATTTATCTTTCTCTGCCTGGCTTATTTCACTCAGCATAATGCTCTCCAGTTCCATCCGTGCTGTTGCAAATGGTAAGAACTCCTTTTTTACTGCAGCGTAGTTTTCCATTGTGTAGATGTACCACAGTTTTTTAATCCACTTATCTGCTGATGGGCACTTAGGCTGTTTCCAAATCTTAGCTATGGTGAATTGTGCTGCTATGAACATAGGCGTGCATATATCCATATATCCTTTCTGATTCGTGTTTCTAGTTTCTTGGAATATATTCCTAGAAGTGGAATCACTGAGTCAAATGGGAGTTCCATTTTTAGTTTCCTTGTCTTTACATGTTTCTTTTATTGGTGCAGCACAAGTGCATTTTAGTATTACTCAAAGGAGAACATAATCTGTTATCTCTAGAAACTGGTCAGTGTTATCATTTGCGAACAAATCATTCTAATAA